TCATTTTAGCAATGAATATTTTAAAGGCTATTTTAACCCACGAAACGAGTTCATTTTTATTGGTTTGGCGTAAACTGAAGTAAAACATTATTCTGCATAGTTTTTGTATTTTGAACTTTTTCGAAACAAATCATCTTAGGGAAGTTTTTGTTCGTTTTCAGGTTCAGATTTTTCGATAGAATTCCGTGTAGGTTTTTCTATCAAGTTTTTCTCTCAACCTGTTCAGTTTCTGTTAAATTTGTTCGCTTAGTCTTTTAGGAAATTTGATTCTGTACAACTTTTGTTCTTTGAGTTTTAGTCAATTCAAATTATTTAAGCATGAAACAGTACATTTTTATACTTCTTCAGCAAGTTACTTATGATTAAATTATACTAACTTTATTTTTTTTGTAGGATGCTTTACTAACTTTTTATGCAGGGCTGACCCACCATATTTTTATTTTTATTTTGTTTATTTTATACTCAATTTATATTTCGTTATGTACGGGCAAGGAACTATATGCCACCGTATCTCGGGAAACTATCCATTCGTCTCGGTGCGGTTGGAACTACTTGTCTTGTCCTATAACAAGAATTAAATGTATGTTTGTTTGTGTCTGGTGGGCACGTGGGTGTTAAATCTTGTACTCATACCAGTATACATGTTCACTGACCCGTTTTGTCTCTTGGCAACTCGGATGCGTTCTGTTTGAGCGCAGCCGAACTTTCTTTGCAGGATTAGTTGGGGCTATGGTGGTGACATGAAATTACTATAGTATTGGACTTGTCGTTTGGACCTCTTTTGTTTTCTTAAGCTTAGGGTTGATATTAGTTTATGTATTTATTATTTTTTAATGACTTTAGCATTGGAATAATTTGGCATGGTTTGTAACCATACTTTATTTAAGTTGTTTTGACTGATTGTTGCTACCTGAATGTTGAGGTATTGGTTAGTTATGAGATTATGATGGATGGTTTGGTTGGCGTTTAGTTTTTTTGGTTTTTTGTTTCACCCCTAGGATTTGGATAATGGAATATTGATTGGGGTTCAGTCCTAATTTAATATTTAATTGTCCGAATTTTGGGGCGTGACATGTCTCGAGTTTAATTCATATTCAAGTGTGGTTGGAATCCACGAAAGTACTCATAAATCTATCCCTCAAGAAGTGTCATGTAACTGGCTATTTGTGTCACGCCGGACCTGCTAGCGTACCCCATCTGTCTATATAAGTATGCCAATACAGCAGCACCCCAAGTATATGAAGATACAGTCGTCAAATTGGACAACAAACTCAAATAAACAACGGGGACCCTAGTACCAGTCTTGTCACTGAAAAGTGTACAACCGAACAAAAATAGCAAGTATGTTCCATCTGCACATGCAATTCTTTCCACTGAATCATTGTTTGTGACATTGGCCCTGTTTGGTAGGACTTATTTCTAACTTATTTCAGCTTTTAGCTTAATTTAAGCTATTTTGATGTGTTTGGTTCAGCTTAATAATACAGCTTATAGCTTTTTGTAAGTCAAAAATCAACTTATTCTTTAAGTGGGGAATGAGAAGCTTAATTTATAAGTAAAAAATCAGCTTATGTTCACAGCTATAAGCAAGCTATTAGGCTATAAGTTATAATCATTTTCCCACAGCTTTATCAAACGGGGCCATTATGAAAGTGTGCCCTCAACCACTTAAGCCTCATTGAATTGCCTTCAGCACTAGACATCTCATGTCTGACCTCTTACTCATCAATTTCCAAGGTATTAACTACTAATGCAATGGCCTGCCTTTCTGACAACTTACGTACACTAATAGATTCGCCTACAATGGAAAGCCCTAGGATAGTGGCGACATCGTCCAATGTGATAGTCATCTCTCCAACAGTCAAATGGAAGGTGTTTGTCTCCCGTTGCCATCTCTTAACAAAACTAGACACTACAATTTTGTTGACAAATAAGCGCAACGAGCTAATTGTGCAAGTCTTGACATCTCTACAATATTTACAAATGTAGCGTTGTTTCCTTGTTCCCACCACGGCCACGAACGAATCTTAGACGAGTGATTATGACACTTTAAGGGCTCTCTTTCATCAGCACCATTCCAAATAGTTGCCGCAACATAACTTTTAAAACTTTTAAGGATTGATGGATCAGTTGGTCTTCATAGAAATGGCTGAGTAGGGATATCTTCATCAATAATGTCAGCATCATTACCAGTAGGGTCATCATCCATAGCAATATCATCCATAACTGGTGCATCATGTATAAGATCATCATCCATGGCAATGTACGTGCCATCATCATGCACTCGAACACGTCCACATCCACGTCCACGTCTCTTTAATTCACGGAGTCTTCTGTTCGAAGTTGTTACTGACCGACGTTGATTGGGACCGGCATCCATCTGCATAAGGAAAATTGTTTTTATTAACCCAATATAATGAAACAGAATAAACACTCCCAGAAAAGGATTACATCAATGCGGGTAATAAGTAGCCTAACCATGCCACCTTAATGAAATCTAATATGCAGTTATAGGCCATTAAATTGACAATTTGGATGATGTGAAATTAACAAAATAAGTTAAGGAGCATAACCCTATTACTGATGAAAGAGTGAGACTAGGATTTGTTGAAAAATTACAATGTAAACATGGATATAGCAAAACTATTTGTATTCTATATAGACCATTCACCAATTAGTTTGGTAACGTTCACAACATGCCAAAAACAGATTAACTTCACTTCGGCCAATTTACCAAGGCAACAGGGTCATTAATCAATACCAACATCATTTTCCAAACAATCAAAGGACTGCCCATCACTTGTCTTTGTACATTCAATTGATTGTAAATTTATTGTAGCTGTGTATACAACCAAAGTCCAAATTTGGCCATAATTTCAATGTTTTGAAAGGACAAACCCCTAATATTCTATATAATGCAATTGTTTTGTTCAGCTATTTAGCTAACAACATTTTCAAGCTAATAATATAATGTGAAAATACTAATACTGCATAGATTTTTGTTTCTATTGTTATACATTGAATTTCGCAAAAAAAAAAAAAAAAAAAAAACTTGCATAAACATACCCATAAAATAAAATTGTTGGAAAAGAACATGAAGTAAAACCAATCTTGGTGGCCTATGTAACTTGGTGTAAATTTATATAATAATAATAATAAAAAACACCATTCGAAACTTCAGTGCCAAATAAACACAAATATTTCGAAATCAATTGCTGAAATTAAAGAATTAATTTGGAACTATTGAACCGGAAAAATATATCATATTCGGCAAAAAACTTCGAAATTTTGTATTTTGTTTAGATTTAATTGGTCGAAGTTGTACACATTATTCGGTGATTAGGTTTCGAATTAAAGATACAAATTCGAACACTCAGTGCTGAGAGCTCCAACCCATCCTCAGCCATGGAAAAATCGATGGTTTTATATGCTAATGGAGTGCAGAGATATCCGAAAATGGTAAATGTAATAAGAAAATGGAAAGATTTCTTACCTTAAACAAATGATTCAATAGTTTTTAGCGGAGATTCAATGGAGGTGAGGAAAGTTCAAAACTTTTTTTTTCTTTTTTTCTTTTTTTTCTTTTTGAACGAAGTCAAAGTCTTCACAAAAGTGGGTGGAACTAGAAATGTCAATTAAGGTCAATTAAAGTGTGCGCATTTGAGCGTAAAGTGTGTGTATCATTTATGAGTGAAGGATGTAATTATAACTTTAAGGGTGTAGATTGAGAAAAATAGTTCATAATCAAATTAATAAGTGTATGTATTGAGAAAAAATTTACCTTGAATTTATTAGGTAGGTGGAAATAAAATTTCCCTTTTGTGCCTTAAAGGCACAGTAGCACTCCAAGTCCCTATTGTGGGTTCTTTTGAAACATAACGTATACTTGGAAATTTATTAAAATTTAACGGAGGCAAACATGGATAATTATTCAGTAATTTCAGAATATAGACGCGTAATATTTTATAATATTGTGATTGGTGAAAAATGTAAATAGATAAAATATTATATTAAATAATTAAGAAATATAAAGAGATAAAATAAATCATAATTAATTAAGTATACGGGCACATTATATTTTGAAAACAATATATAATTTCCCGGCAAACATAGGACAGGCATGTAACCGAGAAATAGTCTTGCTCTCGAACCAGAACAATGCAAATCTCAACCCGTCAAAAGCAAAAAATATATGTATATATATATATAAATCTATTTGTGACGAAAGTCAACAATTGACTCCATGGCCCAATGGATAAGGCGCTGGTCTACGAAACCAGAGATTCTGGGTTCGATCCCCAGTGGAGTCGCTGCGTTTCTTCTTTCTCTTTTGGACATGTTTGCTCTTTTGGACATGTTTGTTTAGACGGACTGAAATTAGCATTCCCATAACTAATATTATTAATAATTTTATTTTGGACATGTTTGTTTAGACGGACTGAATTAGCATTCCTATAACTAATATTATTAATAATTTTATTGGATTATTAGTCCAAACAAACATGGTCTTTAAGTATTATTATTTTATTTATTTATCCATCTATTTTTACATTCGACAAATAAATAATTAAAAAAAAAGCAAAAAATATTTTACATCATAATAATAATTAAATTGGAACTCAAAATAATTACTGGATCTCATCACATTCTTACTATAGCTAAAAATAAATACTATAAGTTGGTGTTTGGTAAATGAAATAGAATTGTCATTATTTTAAATGATTATTCCTTCACAATGGGGAACAATGATTATATTTATCGATAATGCTACGTAACTCAAATTTTGTGGCTCAAAAGTGACTCAAATGGCCAAAACGACGTCTTTTTGAGTACAAAACAACATAAAAATAACCAAAACGACGTCGTTTTGGCCATTTGATCCACTTTTGAGCCACAAAATTTGAGGTACGAGTCATTTTCCTATATTTATAATGTATTTTTTTGTATCATTTTTTATGAATCAAATGCGAGAATAACCATTCTATTTCATTCTACATCAATTAGTCACCCCATCCCCATTTTTTTGAACTGAATGTTTTAAGCCCCAAAGCTGTATTATAACATATAATAAACTACGTTAACCAATTCAAAATCCATCAAGGGCAAGTACCAGGCATTCAATGATGCTTCACCAGTCGAAACATGGGACAAAGGAGCGATTGGACATAGTGGCAATACATCGCAAATACTCAAAACAATTACACCAACGAAATGCTGCTCTCACCACCAGGGGGCTTGCGTACTCCTCCCAGGTAGTCTCTGGATTCTGCCTTTCCATCAGCAAATATATCACTGCCGCTCATTTCTCTCAGCTTAGCATCGCTCAGTGACTTTTCAGCCGATCCTGGAGGGACTTCTCCTTTGAAGATGTCATTGCCTGTCAGCTCTGCAAACTTTTGGTCGTGTATTTTCTTTGCAGTCTTCACCACAGGTTCTTCACCGAATACAATGTTGCTCCGACCTCCAGCAGGCTACCAATGTACAAACAAGTTCAGATATAAGGTTTACACAACTTTATAACATCGCATTTTAACAACCAATAAAGGATTTCAGATATTCCCAACAGTCACCCTACAGAAAAGGAATCCAATTACAAACCTAAAACTGCAAAACATTAAAGCTCAAATGGAAAGTTACATTAGAAAAACAAAAAGAAGATGTTCCCAAACACACATAACCCCCATGCTGTCCAAAAGTGAACAGATAAACAGTTTGGCCTTGTGTGCAATGTCTAACTTCATGAACAGTTATTGGGAAAGACATCCTTCCCTGCCCCCTCCCTACTTTCCTCTCTTGCCACACAAAACACCATGGTTGATCATCAACCAAGCTCACTGCAACAACCACGTTCCCCATCATCGATGAAGTGCGGATACTTTTAGAAGGGAGGAGTATCCGTATCAGATGACGACAATTCTCAAATGCTCGTGGATACGTATCCGATACTTCTTAAATGTATTGGATACTTGAAATTAATTTTCTTTAATTTTGGGAAGCATACTACGTTATACGGACTCGGGTGCGGGTATCGGGTGCGGGTGTGCATCTAAGGGTCGGACACCTTAAAATTTAAAATTAAGGATACGTGGATATGGATCCAAATTAGGATACGGGTACGGGGATACGTTAAATATTTATTTTTAAATATATTTATTATATGAAGATAAGTTTAAAAAATTTAAGGAATAACAAATTATTAAAAAAAATAACAAATAAAAATTATAAACATTATTTTAGACATAAAATAAATTATTTTAATTTTAGACATAAAAATTATGTTATTTATGATATATTATATTATATAATATTTTTTTGAATAAATAATATTATATAATATGAATAACATTATATTAATATAGTTTATATTATATATAATTCAAGTTATATTAAAAAGAAGTGACAGAGAGAGACTCATCAAAAAAGAAAAGAGAGAGAGAGTGACGAAGAGACGAGAAGAGCAGAGATCGAGATCAAGATCAAAGGGGAAGATGAAGGAGCACAGTAGATCGACTTCACAGATTGATCAAGCTTTGCAGATCGATCAACTTCACAGATCGATCGATGCTCTGCAACCAAGTCAGATTGAAGTCGAAGGCCAGGTAAGTCAGATTGAAGTCGAAGGCCAGGTTCTCTCCTTACTCTCTCCTCTTTCGATTCTTCTGCCGTATCTGTTTCTAAGGAGCCGTATCCCGGCCGTATTCCGCACCCGTACCCGTGTCATGTCGTGTCGACACGGGTACCTTCGAAATACCAAAGAGTCCGTGTAACATAGGAAGCATCAGATACTTAAAGTCATGTATCTAAACTTTAATAAAATTGAGATTGTAATATTTCTTTCATAACATTAGAGTATAATTGCTAGAATAAATACAAGAATAGTTTTTCGGTATAATTGAGATTGTCATATTTCGTATTTCGCTTGCTTAGAGAGATTAAAGTACTCTACTTTTTCAGTATTTATCAAATTGAAGTATCCTTAATGTGGCATACATGTAGTATCTGATATTACATACATTTTAGAAAGTAAGGATGAAAAAATAATAATAATACTAGAATCTGATTACAACAATTAAAAAGTAAACTTGCGTACAATAGTTTTATATATAACATCTTAGTGTGAAACGAAAAAGCACAAGGGTAATATAAACAGTTTAGACTTGATATTCAAAGAAATTTTTATCAGACCACAAAAAAAAAAGAGTAAATTGGATACTACCGACTCTTAAACTAATACTTAGTTTCTAAATAATAGTTTTTCATTATTCTTTGAGATCATGTACAATACAGATTCTAGGATACCTTTACAAACATTCTAATTATTACTTCAATATAAAGAGTCCATGTGCTGACTTTTGAATACTTCCTAATACAAAGAACCTTCTTATGTGCCAGGCCATAGCCAAAAACACACTAGCTCAACCTTAATTGGGAAACATACAGTTAATGCAAGGTTGGCAAGAAAGGTCCAGTTTATCCCAATTTTCAACATAAAATTAAAAATTTGATCAATGTGTCGCACAGTGTTGCAAGGGAAGGGATGGATGTTACAGGGGACGACGAAGGGCGTTGGGTGTAAGGGAGGGATGGGTGCTGCGGGGGAGGAGGAGGGGATTGGCTGCAGCGGAGGAGGGAGGCATGAGTGGCTACAGGGGGTGAGTTCTTTTTTTCTTTAGACAAAAAGAAGGGCAAATTTGCCTTTTTGCTACTACACTTTACTGGAATACTATCTCGCTCAATCCAATTAACTGCGTCAACTACATGCAACGTAATGTTAATTTAATTATACTAGTTTCTGTCTATTTTTCACTTTAGTCCAAACTATTAGGGCGTTGCTAATCTATCCACATGGGGTTGTCTGTTTTGGGGGAACAAACTCCAAGGGGGTAAAGTGTAACTAGTTACCCCTAAAAGAAATTAAAGGTGGCAGGACTGGAAGAAGTGCATGTTCTTTCCTGTCTAAAGGCATTTATCTGGCAAGAGAGCATGACTTTGTGGACGCCCAGTCAAAGGAGGCTTTTGCAAGCACATGAAACGATTTTGTGCTTCAGGATTTTATAATGCAGTATGACTCATATTGCATCCAGGAACAAACATAGTCAAGAAGAAGAGAAGACTACAGTATGAAGAATTTTAACAAGAATTTTGGACTATTGACATAATTTTGAAAGAACTTGGATGGAGAGGAGAAAAAAATATATACAAATAAAGTTACTAACATCAAACTTTTGAGTATAACTCAGAATTATCCACAAGCTCAAAAATTGGCCAGATTCCTATCAATTTCAGAGTACTGAGTCCTTGAGAGCAAGATGGAATTCTACAAGATCGCAAAAAGCATTTATCACAGGAGCCTCTAACGCATTCCACTAGTCCAAGGGGCTTGTCCCTTGAGTTTTTATTTTAAATCATTATACCAGAAAATCTGAAAGACCAACTCAATGATTGAAATTTTGGCCTGACCTCAACTAAAACTTCTTTTTTATTTTTTTCAAGTTCCCATTGTAACCTAAATATCATCATTTGATACGAGAAAGAAATCTTGGGGATGTAAAAATATGTTAATTTAAGGTAAGTTTGAAATAAGAAATGCCTAGCAACTCACATTAGAAACTTTGACAGACGTCCGTACATTTCGCGGTGCAGGTTCGACCATGTCTTTCCTTTCTTTTGCTTCAAAGGATCGTGTGGCAGGCAATGACTGAGGAGGAATTTCAGGAGGAGGGCCGAAAATATCATTTCCACTGAGTTCCTTGCACTTTGCATTGGACAGCTGCTTCTTAATATTACTGTCCAACTCACTTTCCTGTGTCCCGCTTAACTCACGCTGCTTTGCTACCTCAGGGACAGTTGTAGGTTTCTTGGGAGAAACCTTCTCTTCAACACTGAAAGAAATCTGGCTTATTCCATTTATTGCTTGCTGACAACCAAAAGGTATAACTTCAGGGAATTGCAACACGGCATTTTACTTATGTTCATATGAATTTTTAATCCAGCCAATATAAAATAAATACCTGATAAGTACGTAGTCCTGTTTTGTTAGTAGGATTAGAAGTAGCATTTCCAGATTCTAGTCCTCCATCTTCATTACCAGCAGCAAATATTTTACTTCCAGTAATTTCCTTCAATTTATACCCTGAACAAGGCTTCCTGAAAGCAGCATATAGTGAACATTTCCAATAAGCCAGTGAAATGAAAGCCATACAAGTCAAAAAATTGGGGTGCCTAATGGTACTTCATAGTGATTCTCTTGATGCAGGCATAGGTTGATAACATACAGCCGATATAAGTTGAGGCAGAATTAAGATTCAAGGAACATAACAGGCCTCACAAAAGCCATGAAAAAAATCTCCAAGAAAATTAAAATTAAAAATAAAAAAAGGAATCAAAACAAAAGAGTTAAGGTCTATCAAAACAAACAACTAAGCATTAAGCAATTCAACTTATAAATAAGGAGCTCTGTGCCACATGTATATGTTCTGGTCACTACAAAGTTCAAACACATTACCACTGCCACACAGGCCCAACTCTCCACACCAGCATCACTCTGCTACTCACCCCTATTCCAAGCAAGGCTTGCCACATCTCAACCATTGATCTTGGCGTAACCCCCCTACTCCCTCCACATGCACCCTACTCCCTAGTTGCTAGAATGAGTGATATTCAAACATAAAAACTGCAGGAAGCAATTTAATTGGCCTGACAATATCATTTTGGTGCAACAGTACATCCAGAAAATGGTGATATTCAACCATTTTTTTTATTTTTTATTTTGGCTTGAAATGGGAAGGATTAGCTTTGGGATGCTTGGTATGTAATGTCAAAGGGTGGTGCAAAAGAGCATTTTGTACATGCTCTTAGTTCATCATAGACTAAAGTTTAGGTTTTCCTCAACAGCAAGCATACATTTGGCCATCAAAGAAGTCCCCAAAGTTCAATGCTTCATGGATTCCCTTCATCTTCTATGGGCGAACAAGGCAGTCTAGTTGACCAAATGTAAGTAAGACGGTTGCCGGTGCAAACTGAACAGCATTAAAAGAAGCTTAAAACTAAATAACCAACGAGCTAAACAAATCCATGATGAGGCAAACAAATCGTAGCTACCAAGATAAAAATCCAAATTCATGTTCAAGATGTGCTCCTCACAGGGCTCAATATAATGGAACAAGAAAACAAAATATAGTTTTCCATGTTAGAAACATAAATTTCCTTTCATGACTATGGTCGCATTCATTCCAATTACACACCAATTCTGATTCAGGGGTAACGATGCAGAGCGAGCAGTTAGATTGCAAGTTCATGTAGCAATTTGAATGATTGATAGCAAAACGATAATTAAAAAGATTTTTCAAGGTTGTCAAATCAGTCTTTGGACCCATATTCGATCCAAAATAACCAAACTAGCACAACTTAGCCAACACACTGCTATGCAGTGACCGAAGCTGGATTTTGACCAAATTCCTTTGTTTAAGCCTTTAAATTTGAAAATTTACTATTTTTGGAAAGATTTCTACCTTTTTTTAAAAATTATATATATGTATATAATTTTCTATAATCGTAGCGTGATTAGCGAGTTATTATTTTAATTGTGGTCTGGATTATGATGTGGCATGGTTAACTAGCCATTTCCCCTATAAATAGGGTTGTAAGCCATTGAAGCTAATAATTTATTGATCGAGTAACAAAAATTTAGAGAAAGTTGTCAATTTTATATTGTTCTTGTTTTTCCTTGTGTATTCATTCAATTTAGAACAGCAATATGAGAAACAAAATGGGATAATATTTTGAATCCGCGGTTGAAGTTAATAATCAAATTCGCAGAGTCGATGCAAAATGGCAAAAATCACATGATAGATTCGAAAATAGTCAAAACAAAAACGCATTTTTAAAACAGATCTAAAAGCGTATTAAATAAGCACATAATACACAACATGCAAATAAAGATTTGAAATGCAGAACAAAAAAGAAGCTAAATTTGAAAGTAGAATTGGAAGCAGATCTGTCTCACCGTTTATTTAGGCTTTCAGCTTCTTCATCAGTGACCTGACCGCCAAACAGAACTTTACTGATCCGATCGGAAGGCTGAAAAATTGTAGAGAAAAATGAGAAACTAATCACGGTTGTAGCAGAGCGGGAATTGAAAATGACATACTTGATGGGAACGAGAGCCGGAACGAGAGACATTGGCGGAATCGGAGGTCTCCGACCAAGTGAGAAGATCGGCGGTGGAAGTGTGGGGATTCCGTACAGGTGTAGCTCTCTCCATTCTTCTGCCCCCTTCCCTTCTCCTTCTCCTCCTCCTTCTCCTTCTCTGCCAAGCCAAGATAAACAGTAGTACTAGATAACAGGGGAAATTAGAAATGGGAAATTTGCAATTTCAGTCTATATTTAAAAAAAAAAATTCAAATTAACAATATTAAATTTTAATAATTAAAATTATTATTATTATTATTTTTATGAATTTGTAAATTTTTTTTATGAAAATACCAATGATTTATAATTTTTTCAAATTAATTATACAGTATTTTCTTGGGAAGGTATTGTATCCTGTCATCGTGGCTTGTATCAGGATTCTTTTAAACACTAATTTATTTATTTATTTTTAGTGTTATTTTGAATTTGAGTCAAAGCTAACCTGTTATTATATGTTAAGGCCAAGTTTGGAAAGACTAAAAAAGTATACTTTTTGTCTTTTTGGACTAAAAAATTGAGGTTGAAAATATAGATGTTTGGGTTAACTTTTTCTTGGGAAGGTATTGTATCCTGTCATCGTGGCTTGTATCAGGATTCTTTTAAACACTAATTTATTTATTTATTTTTGGTGTTATTTTGAATTTGAGTCAAAGCTAACCTGTTATTATATGTTAAGTAAATTAGAAATGACATGGACAGGCCCACGAGGCGTACAGCCCACGGCAAACCGCCCCGAACCCATCACCTTGGACCCATAGCATAACTTGATTGGCAAAGCCTAGGACAGCTGGAGTCCACCTGGACGTGGAGGGCCAAGGACATTCGGACACATGACAGATGAGACACAGGTCACATCAGCAGACAAAGATCTGCAGAGTTATTGCCACAACACATCACCATTAATGCAGCCCATCACAGCATTTATTACGACAACACCTCTCCGTCGGAACAAAGCCCCCTCACCCTGAACAAGGTAAGCTACGGCACAGGCTTTCGGCGGAGAGGGGGCACGTCACAAAGGACAGTGAAATGATTACCAAAGGATATAAGCAACAAGAGAAGCACAAGAATAAGGTTAAGCTTTTTATCTCTCCATCTTCTCCCCCTACATTTTCCTGTTTTTCTTCTACTAATTCTCTCGCCGGAGGGTTCACTGGGGGACTGTCCCGTTCCCCTTTGGACTTGCTTGCAGGTCATTTGACGGAATCACCACCCGAAACCGGAACCAGAAGAACCTGGGCTAGCCTGACCCATCCACTCGGGATGGACTGTATTATCAGTTGGCGCCGTCTGTGGGAACTTAGTGGTTTATCCGTGCGCTAGTTGTGTTCACTACCGCCGGAGCCCTCCTTTCTCACCATCACCTTTCCCTCTTGCCCGTCCAGGTGTATGGTCACGACTAGGTCCATGGCTTCTCACCACAACGCCGCCGATCACCAAACAGATCCTTCCCACCCAACCGACCCACCACAATATATCATCGAGCTCACCAACAGCATTAACCGCACGGCCGAGCAAAACCAGGCCCTGATTAATGCGTTACTCCAAAGAAACCCCCCCGTTCCACCTCCAAATATCCCACCCAACCAAGGAACAACCCCAGGCCATACTGCTCCACTACCCCCTCCGCCTAACCCAGAAGGCTCTCAGCCCCTTCCTCCCCAACATGAAAACCTACCACCCCCACCTCCACGCCCGCCAATCGCAGCACTGGCTCCTGAAGGGGAAGCTAGTAGTGTCCAGCCTCCATTGACCGACCATGGCGACAACATTTCCCTCTGGGACGCTGAAATCCGAGCTATGAAACTCCAACTACAAGGGGTCATGCAGAACATTCAGCACAAGCCCTCAGTCACCACCAACTCGCCTTTTGTTGCCTCCATCTGCGACAAACCATTGCCTGCCAAGTTCAAGATGCCTACCGTTGACTCCTTCGATGGCACGACGGACCCAGTCGACCATCTGGAAGCCTACCGCACCCTCATGATCCTCCATGCCTTCTCTGACGAAATCATGTGCCGAGCTTTTCCAGTGACACTGAAGGGATCAGCTCGGCTGTGGTTTAGCCAACTCCCGGCGGACTCCGTCTCCACCTTTCAATACCTCAGTGACTCCTTCCTGAGCCACTTTATTGGAGCCCAGCGTCAGAGACGCCTAGCTACCCAGCTCCTTAACATTCGTCAGACCGAGGGGGAGTCGCTCCGCAGCTTTGTCACCCGGTTCAACACCGAAGCCCTTCAAGTAGCAGATAATGATGACAAGGTCATCCTCACCGCTTTCATGGCCGGCCTGCGGTCGTCTGATTTCCTTTTCTCCCTCTCCAAAAACCCTCCAACCACCATGGCAGCTCTACTATCCAAAGCCCAGAAATACATGAATGCTGAAGATTCCCTGGCCGCTCGGCAAGAGCCGACCCCTAAAAATCCGACCCCCAGAGAAAAGAGGAAAGACTACGAGCCCAGAACCGCCCAGTATAATAGCCAAACACCCCACTATCATGACCGACCCCCCCGAGCCGACTGGTCGACTCCGACCAGACCGCCCGGTCGGTTTGAGCGGTACACACCTCTCAACTCCCCCATGGAGCACGTCCTCAATCAAATCCAGCGGGACTACCCCCTCAAGTGGCCCCTACCGTCCCGAAACCCTTCCACCCGGAAAGATTAGTCCAAATACTGCCGCTTCCACCAAGACCATGGCCATACCACCGACGAGTGCATCAACCTCAAAGACCAGGTCGAGACCTTCATCCGCCAGGGCCGCCTCAGCCGATTCACAGACCCCCGCCCCGCACAGAGGCAAAGAACTGACCTTCCCAGGAATAATCGCCGACGCACACTACCCCGCAATCAAGCCCCACCAAACGAAGGCCACGATCACCCGCCACCACAGCCTCGGCCTCCGGGCAATCCCCCTCCACCGGTCGGAGAAATCAGAGTCATTTCGGGGGGCCTTGCTTGCGGGGGGCCATCCCGCTCAGCTCAGAAGGCAGAACTCAGAAAAATCAGGCAAAGCTCAGACAAAGCAGTGGCGACGGTGGACCGACCTCCCAAACAGTCAAAACAATGGATCGAACCCATCACCTTCACCGACACCGACTGTGCAGGAGTCCGTTACCCACATGATGACCCCCTTGTCATTTCCGCCATCCTCTCCAACTACAAAGTCAGACGAGTCCTCGTAGACAATGGCAGCTCTTCAGACATTATCTTCCTCAATTGCTTCCGCCAGCTCAAGATTGGGGAAGAGAGTTTGTCTCCTCTCCAAACCCCTCTGGTCGGCTTCATCGGCGACCGCATTACCTCCATCGGCTCCATCGATCTACCTATCACCATTGGCGAACACCCGTGGCAGACCACTAAGTTGCTCACCTTCCTTGTGGTCGACTGCCCCTCTGCTTACAACATCATCCGCGGCCGCACAACCCTCAACGCCTTCCAAGCCATCACATCCACATATCATCTTGCCATCAAATTTCCTACCGATCTCGGTGTCGGCACTGTCAAAGGAGAGCAGACCGTGGCCAGGGAGTGTTATGTCGCCTCGCTCAAGGAAGTCAAGCTAAAAGAGGCCATGATCATCGAAGGGCTTGATGTCCGAGATGAGGACGAGCTGGTCAGAGATGAACCTGTAGAGGAACTTATCGAAGTTAACATTGATCCCACCAACCCAATCAGAACCGCCAAGATTGGCAGCCAATTACCTTTCCAACTCAAGGCCGACCTTACTGCTCTCCTGACTGAGCACAGAGATGTATTCGCCTGAACCCATTCTGACATGCCAGGCATCGACCCCTCCTTCATAACCCATCGCCTCAGCATCGAGCCCCACTTTCGACCCCACCACCAGAAGCAACGCATTTTCCATCCAGAGCGCAACACCCTCATAGCCGCCGAAGTTGACAAACTCCTCGAGGCCCAGTTCATCAAAAATGTGGACTATCCTAGGTGGTTGTCCAACGTGGTCCTCGTCCGCAAACACAATGGCAAATGGCGGCTCTGTGTCGACTACTCTAACCTGAACCGAGCTTGTCCCAAAAACAGTTACCCCCTTCCTCGCATAGATTTGCTGGTCGACGCCACGGCTGGTCATCAAATGCTCAGCTTCGTGGATGCCTTCTCTGGGTACAACCAAATTCTGATGCACACATCCGACCAGGAGCACACATCATTTATCACCGACCGAGGTACCTACCACTACTGTGTAATGCCGTTCGGATTGAAAAATGCCGGGGCCACTTATCAGCGGCTGGTTAACGCCGTTTTCCACCACCAAATAGGTCGGAATATGGAAGTCTACGTCGACGACATGCTAGTCAAAAGCAAATACTCCTCCGATCACCTTGCTGACTTACGTGAGACCTTCGCCACCTTGCGCAAGTACCAGATGAATCTCAACCCAGAGAAGTGTGCCTTTGGCGTAGGGTCTGGCAAATTTTTGGGCTTTATGGTCAGTCAGCGGGGCATCGAAGCTAACCCTGAGAAGATCAAGGCCTTGGTTGAGATGCAGTCGCCTAGGACGGTCAAAGAAGTTCAGAGACTCACGGGCCGAGTGGCGGCCCTCAACCCGTTCATCTCCCGTGCGACAGATAAGTGCTTGCCCTTCTTCAAAGTTCTTCGGCAGACTTTTGAATGGACAGCTGAATCCGAAGAGGCTTTCCAACAGTAAAAGCAATGCATGGCCAACCCCCCTTCTCTCCCAAGCAATCACGGGCGAACCCCTCTTCCTCTACCTAGCGGTATCGGAAACCACAGTCAGTGCAGCTCTCCTTAGAGAAGATGGCTCAATCCAACGGCCGGTCTATTACATCAGTCGGGCTCTCAGGGGCGCGGAGCAGAACTACCCCTTGCTGGAAAAACTGTCCCTGGCCTTGGTCATTGCCTCCAGACGACTCCGTCCATATTTCTAAGCTCACTCCATTGTGGTCCTCACCGACCAACCCCTGAAGAAGGTCATGCAGCAACCAGAGCTCTCAGGTAGACTGATGCAGTGGTCCGTAGAACTCAGCCAGTTCGACATCTCTTACCGCCCTCGGACAGCAATTAAGGGGCAGGCCGTAGATGACTTCATCATGGAGTTCACCAAGTCGACCCCGACCACAACACCTCCGCCCCTACCAACTCCACCAGAGCCAGAAGATCCTCATTCTTGGACTCTTAATGTCAAC